GTAAATTCCGTATGTAGAATATGTAAAAAGAAAAACTGTTTACTATTTAGCGCATGATGAGGCCATCTTTAAGTACAGTTATATTATATCCTAATACGTAAGCGTATGTGTAAGTTTGTTCGTATTAATATAGCTGTGTTGATGGTCCATAAATAAATAAATAAATTCTGTCCATGCGAAGGGAGTTTCTTTTTTTAGCAGGTTGTTCAAGGGATGCGATAGAGATGCTAAATTTGGATTAAATTTATTATAATAATTCGCCATTCCTAAAAACGTTCGTAATTCATTGATATTCTTCGGCCTTTCTGATTTGATAATTGCCTTTATTTTATCTTTATTTTTGTGTAGTCCATGTTCGTCAATTGTATGGCCGAGGTAATTTATTTTCTTTTCCATGAAATGACATTTATCCTTGTTCAACCGGAGATTATTTTCTTTTAGTTTTTGGAAAACTAGTTTTAGGCGCTGTAACAATTGTTCATTTGATTCCCCTTGCACGATGACGTCATCAAAAAAGCATTTGACACCTTGAATATTCTGCAGAGTTTTGTCCATAATTTTTTGCCACAGATTTGGAGCTACCTTGATACCAAATAAAAGACGGTTTACTTTGAAGGATCCTTTATGTGTACTGATTGTTTGCAGCATTGCACTTTCCTCATCCATTTCCATGTTGAGATAAGCTTGACAAATGTCAAGCGTACAAAACACCTTTCCTCCATTCATCTCAGCGAATATATCCTCAATGACAGGTATTGGGTACTGTTCATCTTTAATAACTTTATTAAGTGTGACTTTATAATCTGCGCATAGCCGGATACTGCCATTTGGTTTCACGATAGGTACTACCGGTGTGCCCCACTCAGCGTTGTCTACTTTAGTGATAACTCCATCATTAGATATTCTTTCGATCTCTTTTTCGACTCTCTCTTTCAGAGCGTACTGTATGCGCCTCGGTTTGATAAAAATCGGTATAGTGTTTTCTTTCAATGTAAGGTGACCTTTGTAATTAGGAATACAACCTAATTTTCCATCAAACAAGCATGAAAATTGTGTAAGAAGTTCATCAAGCTTTGTATCAGTATTTATTTTATCAATTTGCTTTATATCTTTAAGTTCAATCTTCAAGTTTTGAATCCAAGCTCTACCGAAGATTGGTTCGACATCTTGTTTAATTATGTATAGTTTTCCATAAGCAATCTCCAAATCATAACTATATTTTACATATATCACTCCTATTGGTCGCATGATTTCGCCAGTGTAGGTCTTAAGCTTGATATCAGTTTTAAATTTTTTTTTTTGTTTATGTTCAATCTTAGGAAGTCTTACTTTGAAATCGAGGAGATGGCTGCCCCTGTATCAAGTTCCATGTGTATTCTTTTATTTTCAATCAATACACTTAACATATATTTCCCTTTTTCAGCAGATCTTATGATGTTTATGTCGCAGATGCTTTCATTATCAATATCATCATTAATCTCATTCACCAGATTAGTTCTTTTATTTTGTTGTAAGCAAACACGTCCAAGGTGACCTTTCTTTTTGCATTTGCTACAAGTATCATTGATATATCTACAGCTGTTTGCTCGGTGAATAGTGTCACCGCAGCGAAAACAATTGCCTTTCAAGTCTTGAAATGTCATTTCGTTATTATTTTTCTTAAACCTGTTAAATGTATTTTCTCTGTATTGTCTCCTCTCTACGTAATGAATATTAGATGATTCAGTGAAAGCTGTGCAATCTTTTTTATAAATTTCCATAATTGAAGCTTTGTTGACTAAATCAGAGAACGCACACGAATTCTTCAGGACAATACTACCAGTTAGGTAGTATTGTCCTGAAGAATTCGTGTGCGTATTTCATTATCACGTAGACCTCTTATAAATTGTAAGCTTAGGAAAGATTCTAGTATCGATTTTTTACAGTGGCCGCAAAAGAAATCACATTCTTGTGCTAGATGCTTTAGTTCAGAAGAAAATTGCGGGATAGTTTCATCGAGGTTTTGTGTCCTTGTAATAAATTTGTGTTGTCTTGCCCATATGCTCGTTTGAGGATCTATAAAATCACCCAAGAGTTTGATCACTTCATGAATCCCCACTTCAAAAGGTTCTTGTGGAGCACACAAATCGTAGGCTTTTTCGTGTAAGTTTGGTGGTAAACTCGAAAGTAACGTATATAACTTTTTAATTGGTTCGTTACAGTTTCTCAGTTTTACATAAATTTCGAAGCGTTTTACGAAATTTTTGAAAGTTTCTGATTCAGTATAAGGCTGAAAGTTTATTTTGGGTGTATTGGAAATATCAATTGTCGGTTCGCGATGTGGTGGTAGTTGCACTCGTGCACATTGAAGTTTAAGCTTAATTTCTAATATGATCTGTTCTGTAATAGTGCGTTCCTCAATTTCACTACTCAGATGTTCATCACTTACTTGATGTTCAATTTCTGTTTGTACATTATTAAATTTCTTTTCGTAGGATTCAATGTTCTGTAGTCGAGTGTCATATTCACGTTCGGAAATATTTTGTAAATTTTCTACCTGGCTTTTGGTCTAATCTAACTGCACACGTGTCGCCGTTCGGGTTCGTTTTAATCTTTCTATTTTATTGGCCATCGTCGCCAATTTGTTCAATAATAATCAGTAGATTACGTTTATAGCATTTATTTAATAATCAAGATGACATAATAACAACGCGGTAACCAATGTAGCAACTCCTTCATCGTCTTCTCTATTATATTTGCAAAGAGATTAGTATACAACAGTTATGTTTAATATTAAATGAAACATAGGTTAATATTTCATAATATGATTTAAATCTTTGTATAAGAAGCATACTTAATATTTTCTCAAATCTATACATATAATAAAATGGTAGGAAAGTCAAAACTGTACAATGAATATTTTTTTAAAAGAATACTTGGGGTGTGATCTACACTCGATACTGAGCCAAAAGTATAGTTTATAGAATTGTTGTCTGTTTGTCTGTATGTATGTCCGGGATAAACTCAAAAACTTCAAATTTGGCAAGAAGTCGGGTCAAAATATAGGCTACATATTATCACGCTATCACCTACGGGGAACAAGCAACGAACCTTTATTTCTAACTAACTCCACGCGTATGAAGTCGCGGGCGGCCGCTATAGTACGTAAGTAAGTAAGTGTACCGCCCTGCAGTGGATATTGTGTTTTGTTTGTTGTTCTGTTTAATTTCATCACACCTAAACAAGTTATTTAATTCTAAAGAAAAGTTTACTAGAAAATAAAATCCACGCGGACCAGGTAGCGGACGGGACTCGAACCCGCATTCTTCGCTATCCGGGCGAATGCACTGACCATTATGCTACCACGGCCCTATTAGCCGCGTTGAAATTTTCCTAGCCTTAAGCTGCAAGGCAGCGCCGTCTCTTCGCACTGTAGGTAACCCACAATGTCAAATTAATACTTTTTCAAGTATTGAACATTTGAAAGAAGAATGATGCGAAGGATGCGGGTTCGAGTCCCGTCCGCTGCCTGGTCCGCGTGGATTTTTTTCTAGTAAACTTTTCTTGAGATTTAAATATCTAGCAGTTAAATGCTTAAAAAAAATTAAATCATAACTATAATTGCTATTTCTTCTTTCAAATGTTCAATACTTAAAAAAGTATTCATTTGACATTATGGGTTACCTACAATGCGAAGAGATGGCGCTGCCTTGCAGCTTAAGGCTAGGAAAATTTCAACGCGGCTAATAGGGCCATGGTAGCATAATGGTCAGTGCATTCGCCCGGATAGCGAAGGATGCGGGTTCGAGTCCCGTCCGCTGCCTGGTCCGCGTCGATTTTTTTCTCGTAAACTTTTCTTTAGATTTAATTATCTAGCAGTTAAATGCTTAAACAATAAATAAAATCATAACTATAATTGCTATTTCTTCTTTCAAATGTTCAATACTTGAAAAAGTATTAATTTGACATTGTGGGTTACCTACAATGCGAAGAGATGGCGCTGCCTTGCAGCTCAAGGCTAGGAAAATTTCAACGCGGCTAATAGGGCCGTGGTAGCATAATGGTCAGTGCATTCGCCCGGATAGCGAAGGAATGCCGGTTCGAGTCCCGTCCGCTGCCTGGTCCGCGTGGATTTTTTTCTAGTAAACTTTTCTTTAGATTTAAATATCTAGCAGTTAAATGCTTAAAAAATAAATAAAATCATAACTATAATTGCTATTTCTTCTTTCAAATGTTCAACACTTGAAAAGTATTCATTTGACATTGTGGGTTACCTACAATACGAAGAGATGGCGCTGCCTTGCAGCTTAAGGCTAGGAAAATTTCAACGCGGCTAATAGGGCCGTGGTAGCATAATGGTCAGTGCATTCGCCCGGATAGCGAAGGATGCGGCTTCGAGTCCCGTCCGCTGCCTGGTCCGCGTGGATTTTTTTCTAGTAAACTTTTCTTTAGATTTAAATATCTAGCAGTTAAATGCTTAAAAAATAAATAAAATCAAGTTATTTAATGTTTTATTTTGTTGTTTGTCCTACTGAACGAACAATAGTTATATTGTTCGTTTAGGGGAGAGGTCATTAATACATTAAATAACACCAGAAGAAATATATAATTGCAAAATAAATGATTCAATGAAGACCTATTTTTACCCGACTGCGCAATGCAAGAGCGCGAAGCGCGACGCGCAGACAGGGTATAGTGTTTAACAGTCTATATATGTATGTTTGTTCCTTTGTGGCACACTAGAGACCAAACGCCTGGACCGATTTTGATGATTCATACATCAATCGATTCGTCTCAATCATGGGAGTGCTACTAGAGATATGATAGTGTTTAAAATTGAATACAGGCAAAATAGGCGCCATATTATGACGAAGTAAAAAAAATAAGTTGACAAAATATGTCAAGTGGGATATCACTGTCTAGATAATCGAAAATCATGTTTAAGTTCCTAACACCATTTTTCATTTTAACTCCTTAATTTAACGGTGTCTAGATAATGTGTGTATATGATTTTGTTACAGAGAGTTCTCGAGAGTATACATCAAGAAAATTTCAATAAGCGCAAACAATTGGATAGAATCAGATATACGAAAAAGAAAAAAATGGAAAAATTTCGCCTAACTCAGGTAAAATGCGCAGGTTGCGTCTGTCGGCTTTCAGTGAGATAATTTTTCACGGAAGGTGTTCTTTAAACATAACTCAACCATCCTACAAAGTTTCGTCACAACATTCAAAGTTTTTCAATAGGAATATGTCCAATATTCGAAAGCAGGGCCGGATCGGGGGAGAGGTGCAAATCGTATAGGGGCTTCCAATTCTATAGTCACTAAAAAGTTTATAAGCATCTCAATGTTGATTATTAAGTTAGAGATAGGCCACAGCGCCTTTCCCGCTCGAATTGGAGCACCAGTTTGGAGAAGCAACCTCCAGCTTACACAACTCCACAGTAAAATAACACTACCTTTTGGTGGTGTTGTGTTTCTGCTGCTGGTGAATAGGGTTCCTAGAGCTCCGAGGGGTAGAGGATTAGACTCAGTTCGTCAGTGTGAGGATATCTTTGAGACTAGACTCCACTAACACTTAATATCATGTAGGGTAGGCTTATTTTTGGCGCCTCGTAAAAAAATATACAATGTTAACCGTCAAAGGACATTGTTCTGCGTCCATACATTGTTAGCCTAAGAACCAACAATCATGAAATATTATTTTCTAGGTTCGAAATTGCAAGTAAATGACTGTAAAAACAAATATTATTGACGGATACTTCTGAGAACTTAAATTATCAGGAAAACTAAATATTTTTTGAGGTTATTGTTCAATAATAATCAGTAGATTACGTTCATATCATTTATTTAATAATCTGTCTGTACACGATCTCCAGGTGAAATCGTTTTCCTGACGGTGTCGGTGGGTGTTCTCCTAAACTGAAAAGAGGGAGAGTTTAGTGGAGGTATCAGTGCAGCAGCAAGTTGGGTACGAATTTCCCTCCCGAAAAGTAGCTCGTATGCACTATTGCCTATATTTTGGTTCGGCACTCTGCGAAGCTGTGATTTGATAATTCAAAGTTTCGTGTATATCACCTCCCTCGGAGTCCATGCTATTTAGTGATCTTTTAATCGTTTGCACATATCGTTCGGCTTGTCCATTTGCTGCCGGGTGATACGGCGCTGAGGTTCTATGAGTTATGCCATTTGACTTTAAATATCTTCTAAATTCATTTGATGTGAACTGCCTCCCATTATCAGATACTAAAACATAAGGAAACCCGAAAGTTGCAAATATTTCTTTTAATTTTCTTATGCACCATATACTTGTGGTTGTTTTCGTGGGGATCACTTCAACCCACTTGCTCATCGCATCAACCAGTATAAAAAGATAATAGTTATTAATTGGTCCTGCAAAGTCTATGTGTAATCTCTGCCACGGTGCTGTAGGTACTTCCCAGTGGTGTACTGGAGATTTTGGTGGCTCGTTTTGATGTAAACGACATTCTCGGCAGTTCCTGACTAACTGTTCAATGTCTCATATTTTTCCAGTATACGTAACTTCTGGCAAGAAGTTTCATTTTTGTAATCCCTAAGTGTCCGGCATGAAGTTCTTGTAAAACTTGTCGTTGTAACGTAGCTGGTATCATCAGTCTTGTACCTTTAAATATACATTTATCCTCTAATGTTAAATCGTAGTTGTTGTACCCTAGAGTTCTTAGGTCATTACTATTACGTAGGGATTCCATTAAAGTTTTACATACAAGATCTTTGATAGTTTCGTTTTGTATGTCTTCATAACTTATATTTAGTGTGTTTATTTGTCTCAGTTGGAAAAACGAGTGTTGGTCACTCTTGAACTCTGGAGCGTCCACAGGAAATCTTGAAAGATAGTCAGCATTACTGTTGCAAGCCGAGGTCCTGTATTCTATCTCATAATCAAATCCGGAAAGAAAATGAGCATAGTGAAACAGCCGCATAGTACTCATTGATGGTAGTGTTTTTTGAGGATGAAAGATAGTTGTCAGAGGCTTGTGGTCAGTTATAAGTATAAATTTCCTTCCATAACAGTATTGGTAGAACTTTTTGAGCCCCCAGTAAATTGCCGTCACTTCTTTGTCTATCTGACTATAGTTTTTCTCGCTAGTACTCAAAGACCTAGATGCGAATGCTATAGGTCTGTCCGATCCGTCAGATAGCCTGTGTGAGAGTACTACCCCCAGGCCTGTTGGTCCTGCATCTGTAGCTAGAACAAGAGGTTTGTGTTGTTCGAAGCGTAAAAGAACTTTATCATCCGTAATTTCCTTTTTAATTCTGCTAAAACTAGTTTCGCATTGTTCTGTCGTTCGTGTTCGTGACTCACCTTTCCGAATCTGTGGATGCTCGTATGCAAGTTGACGTAATATATACTGATTTCTCAAGGGCCTTTGACAGGGTAAATCATCAGTTACTGTTGACTAAATTGTCATCTCTCTATGGGATGGGTGGGCCACTTTTGGATTTAATGTCGTCATATTTGAGTCATCGTCAGTCATATGTAGTAGTCAAGGGATATGCTTCACATCCTTACTTAGCAACATCGGGTGTCCCTCAGGGGTCTGTTCTGGGGCCTTTGTTTTTCAATTTGTTTTTGAATGACGTAAAAGATTGCTTTCTAAACTCCAAATATTTTATGTTTGCTGATGACTTGAAGTTCTTGCGTAACATCCATGATGTCCTAGACGTTGAGGCTTTGCAGGAAAATCTGAATAGATTGGTGCTTTGGTGCTCAACTAATAGCATGCACTTGAATACAGATAAATGTTGTCATGTTAAATTCACTCGAAAACGTAAAATTACCCACTCTTATTATCATATTGACAACATTTTGCTGCAGGAAAAGAGTTCAGTTCGTGATTTGGGTGTAACTTTTGACTCGAAGCTCCGTTTTAGTGAACATATCGATAATATATGTCGGTCGGCACGTAGAATGATGGGATTTGTTCTCCGCAACGCCAAAATCTTTAAAAGACAATACACTAAGAAACTTCTTTTTAACTCGCTGGTTAGAAGCAAACTTGAGTATTGTTCTATGATCTGGAGCCCAAATTATCAAATTCACAAAGATCGTATAGAGGCAATCCAAAGAAGATTTACGCGTCTAATTCTGCATGGTAGATATAGAACGGCTCCGTACAGGGAACGCCTAAATACTCTCAATATGGTGACGCTGGCTGATCGTCGTTCGACACTTGATATAACTTTCTTGTGTAAGATTTTGAATGGTATATTTGATGATCCTATGCTCCTCAGTAAGTTTCGCTTTAGGATACCATCGCGGTTGCCACGTTATCCGGCATCACTCTTGACACACAAAACGTACCGTAGCAATTTGGGTCACCATTCGCTCATCCCTAGGTTAAGTAGATTAATTGGTGAGGTTGTGAAGAAGGATCATACTATTGATATTTTTCATGATAAAATACCAGCTTTAAAATATAAAATATTTAGAATACTGGGAAAGTAGATACTTAACTGTTTAATATTATTGTTAATAAAATTAGTTTGCCAATAATGGGTCTGGTACGTAAGGGGTTCTCTGAACTTACGACCATATTAGGCAGTGTTCTCCCCTTTTAAAAAATTATAGAGCATGATAGACTGTCGTGATTGTTCTGTGATTGGGCAAATATTTGTGTTGTGTAGTAAATTCCGTATGTAGAATATGTAAAAAGAAAAACTGTTTACTGTTTAGCGCATGATGAGGCCATCTTTAAGTACAGTTATATTATATCCTAATACGTAAGCGTATGTGTAAGTTTGTTCGTATTAATATAGCTGTGTTGATGGTCCATAAATAAATAAATAAATTCTGTCCATGCGAAGGGAGTTTCTTTTTTTAGCAGGTTGTTCAAGGGATGCGATAGAGATGCTAAATTTGGATTAAATTTATTATAATAATTCGCCATTCCTAAAAACGTTCGTAATTCATTGATATTCTTCGGCCTTTCTGATTTGATAATTGCCTTTATTTTATCTTTATTTTTGTGTAGTCCATGTTCGTCAATTGTATGGCCGAGGTAATTTATTTTCTTTTCCATGAAATGACATTTATCCTTGTTCAACCGGAGATTATTTTCTTTTAGTTTTTGGAAAACTAGTTTTAGGCGCTGTAACAATTGTTCATTTGATTCCCCTTGCACGATGACGTCATCAAAAAAGCATTTGACACCTTGAATATTCTGCAGAGTTTTGTCCATAATTTTTTGCCACAGATTTGGAGCTACCTTGATACCAAATAAAAGACGGTTTACTTTGAAGGATCCTTTATGTGTACTGATTGTTTGCAGCATTGCACTTTCCTCATCCATTTCCATGTTGAGATAAGCTTGACAAATGTCAAGCGTACAAAACACCTTTCCTCCATTCATCTCAGCGAATATATCCTCAATGACAGGTATTGGGTACTGTTCATCTTTAATAACTTTATTAAGTGTGACTTTATAATCTGCGCATAGCCGGATACTGCCATTTGGTTTCACGATAGGTACTACCGGTGTGCCCCACTCAGCGTTGTCTACTTTAGTGATAACTCCATCATTAGATATTCTTTCGATCTCTTTTTCGACTCTCTCTTTCAGAGCGTACTGTATGCGCCTCGGTTTGATAAAAATCGGTATAGTGTTTTCTTTCAATGTAAGGTGACCTTTGTAATTAGGAATACAACCTAATTTTCCATCAAACAAGCATGAAAATTGTGTAAGAAGTTCATCAAGCTTTGTATCAGTATTTATTTTATCAATTTGCTTTATATCTTTAAGTTCAATCTTCAAGTTTTGAATCCAAGCTCTACCGAAGATTGGTTCGACATCTTGTTTAATTATGTATAGTTTTCCATAAGCAATCTCCAAATCATAACTATATTTTACATATATCACTCCTATTGGTCGCATGATTTCGCCAGTGTAGGTCTTAAGCTTGATATCAGTTTTAAATTTTTTTTTTTGTTTATGTTCAATCTTAGGAAGTCTTACTTTGAAATCGAGGAGATGGCTGCCCCTGTATCAAGTTCCATGTGTATTCTTTTATTTTCAATCAATACACTTAACATATATTTCCCTTTTTCAACAGATCTTATGATGTTTATGTCGCAGATGCTTTCA